ACCTGATGGCTGCTGATAACAGCGCCTACGGCGATGATCACGCATCAAGCCACACTGCAGCCTGTGAGGGCGCATAGGGCGATGCACAGGTGAGCAAGGCGCAACGCGCTGCAGCGAGTTACCGCGCAGACGCAAGCTGCCTATTTGGGCTCATAACCTGATGAAGAGTTATGGAGGCAGCAGCACGCACAGTGCGCCCTACACAACTCACCTGTATTGGTTGGATGCTGTAGCTACTGGTAAAGCTCGTATAAACGACCCTTGTCATTAGGCAGCAGAGCTGCAGGGTTTATATACACTGTGGCCCATAGGCTGACTAAGCTACGTGGAATATCTATAATCCTACTGAGCTCCACCTATGATGTCACTGACCCACATGAGCTCCGTGCCTTTGTACAATAATGGAATATACCAGAATATTCCAGAGGGTTCCGGTATGTTCTGGTACATTGTAGAACCTGGCAGCTAAGTCAGCGCCTAGTTCAACAAATACAAGAGGCTAAGCTGCTCTTATTCCACTTGCGCGCAAGGCGTCTTATAGCTCCTGCTTGGGTTAGTTTGATTGTCTCTGTTCAGTCTAGTTATCAATAAATAACTTTCAGCACTCTGAATCATGTCAAACTTGTCAAGTTGGCTTTGATATCGCCGGGGGATTGTCCCAGCGTGGCCGTCTGTACAGTATCACAGCATTGGATGTGATGGCTCCTTCGAGATACCCGCGCCAGGCTTGTTTAGCTGATGCAACCTAAGACAGGTACAATCTCCATTTGTGAGTGGATGACGACTTTCAACTAAAAATATGGACATCCTCTCATGTCCAGTATACTCCACAATATTCGTCGACCAGCATGCTGCATATGCAGCAGGCTACCAGGACCGAATCTTTATACAGAGCCATGCTCCTGAAGTACCATATCGCGTAATCGCGTCGTTCTTGCAGCTTCAGGTCCATAGAGCGTTACGCTCGTCCGTGTAAGTCTTCCCACAATGTGTAAACTTATGTATCAACTTTTGATTGGCAGTCCCCTCAAACTGGTAATTTGATATTGTTCAGTCCATCTATTTTCGAATGCACAGGTCCTCGACAAGCGTCACAGACTTTCATGAATTGCAATCTGTCCGCTTGAGCCAGCGGCGTCGTAGACTATATAATGGCCCCATGTTAGTCCAGTGTTCGTCAGGTCTGGTACCCCACTTACAACACTCCTTCGTCTCCTCACTTCTCCTGACTTAAGCTACATTCTTGTTATCTCTACACGTCACTTCCTTACACTCAGATCATCATGAAGTTCTCCACTGTCGCTGCCTCTGCCGTCTTTGTTTTCGCCTCCTTGGCATCCGCTGCACCTCATATGAAACGTGCGCAGGTTTGCGACCTGTCTGGTAAGCATGCCTTCTGGTTTTCTGACGTCCACCTTTCCTTACCACAATTTGTCGGTCAGCCCTGCCCGGTCTGACAATCACCACCTCTGGCGACAGTAGCGGTCAGATCCGCTGGGACCTGTTCCAGAACTCCGGCGGTGGTATTCAAGCCGGTACCTTGGCTTGGGTGAGGCATCTTCCAGTGATTTTAGTAAACCATGCTCACAATGTGCTTTATAGTTCGGTGAGAAGCAGCCCGACGGGCCCGCTCAATTCCGGGCAATTGCCTCTACGAACGGACCCAACATCTTCTCCTTCCAGAGGAGCACTGATTCTCTGCAAGTCGTCGCGTCGGGCAGCGGCTTCCAAGGCGCTAGTTCTGGCGGCACCGAGGTAGGCCTAGTCGTCTGACCGAATGTAACCAGACATGCCGACGTTGGTGTCGCTCTCCTTAGTTCCTTGTCACCTGCACTGGCCAATGCAACCAAGCGGCTGGTGACAGAAGCCTTGCCGCGAGCGGCTGCACGATGCAGGTCACGGACGGAAACGGTAACGGCACTGGACAGTGTGTCTCTTGGCCTGGAGGTAGCGTCGTGCCAGTAGAAGTTGCACAATGCGACGGCAGTTCTTCTCAGGTTAGTTGGAGCCTTAATATACAAAAAATGAACTCACTGACCATACTCTCTCAACAGCAAGTGGGAGTCTTCGCTTCATTCACAGAGCCCGATGAAGAGTAAGGAGCATTGAGATGTATAGTCGGCACTCAACCCTTACGAGTGTATTCATAAGAACAATGTAGCTCTTTCATCAGGGAATAGAGGTGTTAATATTAATATGTTTATGCGTGCGTGCATGACCTCGCGGGTGGAAGAAATATTTGCAGAGTTTCCTTGAGCTCCTTGGAGAAACCCATCTTGGACGTTCTTCGGCTGCCAGTGATACTACTAGTATCATTGGGGGGGAGTTTGACACGGGTATTGGGTTTGACAAAATGATAAATCACTTATAACTCTTTCCACATCCCATATTTGACTTCAGAAATTGGCATGTGTATGGGTATGTATGTACCACTCATGTCTCTAAGCTCATAATAACTTTTTTCTCCTTGCATTGTCAGGAAACACGCAAAACGCGTCAATATGCCTGTACTGCGGAACACGTTTGAACAGATCTCATGCACGGTATATCCCAGAGCGATAGAAAACCTAGAGTATCCATCATTACGGTCCGTGAGAGTCTATCCGTCAAGCCCGATATGCTCCAGGGGGACGGAATCCTTTGCTAGACGTCAGGTAGGTGTTTGTCAAAGGCTCTGTCGAGGCAGGACGTGACTGTAGATTTAAAGCGGAGCTTGAAGATGCATTTGCTTGTGCGCGCACCCGGTGGGTTTTGCAAGTTCGACGTTCTCATAGATAGGACTTACCATACGAGCTGTAGCCATGCTACAAGATATCAAATGACCTGTTGTGCACAATATTTCCTTTCTTTGCTGCAGTATATGCCCAATTGAAGGGCCAAGGCGTAGTCGAATGGTGCTCCTGAAAGGGAATGCCGCCTTGGCAGCCGGTGTGACAGTTGTGTGACTGATTGTCCAACTCTCCCCCCGGTGTCATTTTGGGGGTTCTGTCAAGATTCCGGAAAATAACCTGCCACAGGCCCGCTCCTTGGACAATCATTTTACTTTTAGTCAGGGATCATAATAAACCATCCTAAGTACTATCTGCGCAAATAACAACCTCAATTGACTGGGTACCAAATAATAAAGAGAGATGCCGGTGACGGACCCACAGTCGCAGTCCCAGAAAGTCGACCCCACTGGGAGGTCACACCGCCGAACGCGTTCGCGAACTGCAAATGCGAACGTGAGAACCACACCACGGTGCACGTCGATTCTGTGGCTCTGTCCACCGGCCACAGACGCGTACCCCTCTTGCTTATGATAAAATCTGCATAGCCTGAGGGTTTTAACTTGTAAGTTTATTGAATCAGTCTGTGAGATGAAATTGCTGGGTAATTGTAAAAATGTGGTGAGTAATCGAAGCTGTCTGTCCAATTGGGGTCACACGAACCCACTGAAGGCCCTTCCGTGCCCTCCCCCTAAA